AGCCGTGGTCTCATTGTGAATGAGGTCGCTGATGTACCTGTTTCTGTTGAGGCATCAGCCGCGATCTGCTGGCCCACCCCATCCGGGCCATGCGCTGTGGTGGCTCTGCAGGAGTTGACATGGTGCATGTGGCCCGTGGCCGGCTAGATGCCTATTTGGGGTTTTGGATTTAAGGTTCAACTTCTTGGGCTTGGGGTTTGCAGTTTTAGGGATTAGGGTTTTGAGGTGCAAGATTTAGGGTTCATGTGCAGTTTGGGGTTTACGGTTGGAGGGTGTAAAGGTTTGGGGCTGAGGGTTTAAGGTTTCCGGTTTACGGCTTTGACGGCTTCGGGTGAAGGGTTCCTGTACAGCTAGGGGTTGAGAGGTAACTGCTTAGGTTTAGGGTTTAGAGATTTAGGGCTTCGGACCCAGGGTTGAGGTTTCGGGACTCCGCCGTGTATCAAGAAAGGATCGCGTTCCCATGCCGACGGGACACGTTTCGCTTGGGGATTCCTAGCAAGAAGCCTAAACCTTAAACCTTAAACCTCCTGATCGTGGAACCTGCTTGAATTGTGGAGACGAAATTGGATTCCCGTCGGCTGTGTCCGGCCCCAGCTGGGTAGCGTTTTTTTTGGTGGTTGAACCTATTAAGACAAAATTCCTTGTATAAAATACTATTCCCCAAAAAGAGGATACAGTCTTACTCTATATTGGGTACCATAGTAACCCCCAACAAAATGCTATTCAGCTGGGTTTAGGGTTTCTATCAGCCCTAGACCTGCCGCGAAATGCTGCAGCCTACTGCTGGGGAAAATATCTTGCACAACCCAAGAAGGTTTGAGTCGAAGGAAATGCTCTAGTTTCAGGACCCTCAGTGGCAGGAATTCCCCCATCAACAATCTGAAGCTGGGTCATTCTCAATTCTTGGCCCTGAACCTCAAGCCAAGAATTTGGAAGCCTCCAGACCCTAAACCCTAAACCCTAAACCCTATAGAAAGGTCACAGTTCCGAGCCTCCAGACTCGCAACCCCTAAACACTCTCAATCCTACACTCCAGATGCCCTAACCTGGAACCTGAAATATCCTGAAACCCCTACAATAGAGGCCTAAAGAACGTCCATTACCATGGTGAAGCTTAATTACTAGGAGGTAGTAAGGAATAAGGGAATTTAATGGGGACTATGTTCCCTTCTTCCCTACTAAGCGCCAGTAAGGAAGCCTACCTGAGGTACCCTACACCATGGCTAGCAAGAAACTGGTATTTATTGAAGCCTCTACATTAAACCCAGCTCATCTGAGTAGTATTTTATTTGGGGAGATTATTATGGTACCCAATATAGAGTAAGATTATATCCTCCTTTTGGGTATAGTATTTTATATAAGGAATATAATCTTACTGGGTTGAACCACCAAAAAAAAAACAAGCTCATCTAAGCTCGTCGCGTGGCTTTGCGCTCGCACGGAACCGACTCGACGGGGAGATCCTCAGCAAGGTTGTAGAGGTTTAAGTCTAGGGTTTAAGGTTTAGGGTTTAGGGCGTTGGTCCCTTTTTTTCTGGGTTGCTGTCGAGGAATTTGAATTGATTTACTATAACAAGGAAACCCAATTATCTTACCAAGAACCCATTTTCCGGCAACTGAATCTAAGTTCCATAGCAGATTATATAGGTTTTAAAAGAGTGTATCGGGCTTGTGGAATGAAAGTTGAGGGTTTAGGGATGTATTCTCCAACAATGGAGACTCCCATGGAAAAGAACATGGATAGTGAATTGCCAACTGGGTTGCGAGCGGCTTACAACAAATTAGAAGGGTGTCGTAGCCAAACTCTAGAGCTCGAAAATCCAATGGGAGGTAGAAGCAGCCCATTTCAAGAATGTAGTGTGCAATGAGGAGGCATATCTCTTCTCGGAACGTTGGTCGAATAGAGCGTCAATCCCGATCTTCGGGCCATCGCAGAAAAACTCGGTAGGTATCTCGCGAAACACCAGTGATATCCTTAAACCCTAAACCCACAGGAGGAGACTGCCTGCTTGTAACTTAGGTATACCTACCCTACCTAGTAAAAACATGGGTGGTTTACCAAAATAGGGGGACCTTTTTTCGACCTCAGAGTACTATAATCCCTATTATAAGGACCCCCAAAATGGTACCCCTACTTTTGGGAAACCCCCACATGCTCTTAAGTCCGAAGCCGACGAAAGCCCGGAACCCCCAAAGCCGACATCTCCTCACATCCGGCGCGCAAAATCCAGCTCGCGTCCTGAAGATTTAAGCCCTACAGTGCCCTACAGTGGGTTTGAATGCCTACCCTGAACCCTGAACCGTAATCCCTAAGCCCTAAACCCTTAACCCTAAGCCCTAAACCCTAAGCCCTAATCCCTAAACCCTAAGCCCTAATCCCTAAACCCTAAACCCCAAGGGTTGAAAACCTACATGCTGAACTCTGGAACCCTTGGCACCACAGGCCTCTACAACCCCTAAACCCTAAACCTCCCGAAGCCTATATTCCCCCTTTAAGTAGATAGAATATGGGGGTTGTATGGGGTTCTGGGTTTAGGGTTTAGAGCCCGCCTTTGGTAGACATAATATGGCTTTGGGTATAATATAGTAAGAGCCCCCATACTCTATCTACTCAAAGGGGGACCTTAAACCCCAAACCCTAAACCCTAAATCCTACATAAGCCCCATATTCTCTCTAGTCTACAAAAGGTAAGGAACAATAATCAGATTACTATACATAAGGAAACCCTACTATCTACTCTATACCCATATGGACCATATTGTGATGACCCCAAACCCTGTATTCCCATGATATGGCAACTTAACGTAAATCCTCTCACTGAGCCAGGCCTCAGTGAACTTAGAGACCCATGCGGCCGCTGTTCCTGAGCTCGTGATGTACTTCGGCGGCTACGAGCAGGTGATGTTCTATGGCGGTTGGAGTTCAGGTTTCGGGTTTTGGTGTTTAGGGTTGGGGTATTTTGTTGGGCTAAGAGTTCAAGGTCCGTCCCAGGCAAGACCGAGCATTTGGCGTGCATCTCAAATTTCCGGCCCTAGAGTCATTGAGGGCGAGGGCACCTAACCCTAAATCCTGCACACCAAACCCTAAACCATGAACCCCATACCTAAACCATACAAAACCCTAAACTGAACCCCATCCCCATCCCTAAGCCCCAATTCCTCTAATCCTAAACCCCAACCCTAAGATCCCGAAATTGCAAGCCCTGAACCCCATCCCCGTCCCTATGAAAACCCCAATTCCCCGAGCCCCATCCCTCCAGCCCAAAACCCCAAACCCTAAACCCTCAAACCCATATAAACTTACGGTAACTTTGGGTTCTCAAACTTCCTTAATCTCAAAATGTCAGATTTCCTCAACTTGAAAATCAAAATGACCACCCCCCAAACCCCAGGTAATGTTCATAAATCCTAAACCCTATCCCTCCAGCCCTAATTTGCAAGCCCTGGCTCAGCGCCCCCGCCACAGAGTCCACGTCCCAGGAGCCCTTGTATTTTGTTAGGGCTTAGGGATTTAGTTTCGGGTTTAGGGTTCAGGGCTCACAGTTAGGATTTAAGTTTTTAAGGGTTTAGGGTTTTAGGGTTTAGGTTTCACGGTTTAGGGTTTAAGGTTTAAGGATTAGGATTTGTTTAGGGTTTAAGGTTTGAGGGTTTGAGGTTTAGGGTCCGAAGTTCAAGGATAGCTTTAGGGATTTGGGGTTTAGCCATCCGGTGTTAGGTTGTAGGTTTAGGGTCTGAGGATGTAGGGCTAGGGTTTTTGGATTAGGGGTTTAAGGGATTT